CCAAACTATGGTTCTAGAGTTGGTTGGGTTCCTGATGATGGGGTCCACAATTTAACCCTAATTGCACAAGGTAGGAAGTGAAATAAAACGATAGCTCAAAACTGGAAATACAAAAGAGTCTGAGTTATCCCTAACACCTTTCTTTCCCCCACCCCAACACCTTTCTCTATTAATATGTATTTTTTCTCTCTCTCTCTTTTTAAAATCTTTTTATTGGGGCTCATACAACTCTTATCACAATCCATACGTACATTGTGTTTAAGCACATTTGTACATTCATTGCCCTCATCATTCTCAAAACATTTGCTCTCCACTTAAGCCCTTGACAATATGTATTTTCTTAATCCTTCGTATAAATTAAAGTATATAGCCTTTGTTGATACCTCTTTATCATGTTTTATAACATTTTTTATATAAAAAATGTGTTCCTTTTTTCCCCTCCCAAAATGATGTAGTCATTATTGGTATATAATGAATGACCCATATTTAAAGTGTTCAAATTGGCTTGTTATAAATATATATCTGTGAAACATTAGCACAGTAAAGATAGTTTACATATCATCATCCAGAGATTCTTTATTTTGTTTTCTTTATAGTTTTACAGTTTTCTTGGCACATAATCCACATACCATACAACTCAATAGTTCAATCATATCAAGAATTGTATGATAATTACTCCAGTCATTTTGAACTTTTTTCTCATGGTTAAATCACTGTTAAAATGAGCTGTGTAATCATCATCAGTTCTATTGCTCCCTCCCCCTCTAGGTTATAAGGCGATCGCACTGGTAGCATCACCAGTTTTTTCAGTGAGACAGCACTCTGGACACTGGCTGTATGAGGGGTCTATGCAAGTACAGCCCCACCAGGAGCCACAGCCCCGGAGTTGTTACTTCACTCAGTTTCAGCTCCCATTCCTTACGCATAGGGATTGGTGCCAGGGGGAAACTTCCTGGATCAAGTCTGCCAGGCGGGCTTCTATGTTAAGTCCTTCTGGTGTGACCCCTGGGGTCCAGAGATTCTTGGTGCCTCTTGTTTATTTCTCTCTCCTTAGCTCACTGACCCTTACAAACAACCACTATTCAAGTTTTTGTGGGGTTTTTTTTGGTTATTTTATGTAAATGAAATTACAGTGTACACTGTTTTATTCTGACTTCTTTCAGTATTATTATTATTTTAGATTTTTCTTTAATATGTTTATCAGCCTTTCCTTGTTGCCAAATATTTTTTCATTTTTCCATCGGATTTTTTTTTTAAAACCTTCTAGTTTTTTAATATGCTAAATTACATTGACTGGTTTTAAAATGGAAAACTAATCTTCCATTCCTGGGGAAATGAAAGGATGTATTAGTCATAATATATATTATCCTTCAAAAGATAGTTTTTAATGTGTTTTGCTATTTGTCTCCTTCTAGGCATTTGTGCCTTTCATGAATGTAGTAGTATATTTTAGTATAAGTTTAAGATAAGATTTCCTCGGGAGCCTTTTCATTTCCTTAGTGCTAGTAGTTATGTCACATCTTTCATTCATGAGGTGTGTGATTTGCTGTTTCCTTGTTTTCTTTTTTTAAATACTTTTATTGGGGGCTCTTACATCTCATCACAATCCGTACATTCATCCAGGGTGTCAGGCACATTTGCACATATGCCACCATCATCATTTTCAAAGCACTCTCTTCCCACTGGAGCCCCTGATATCAGCTCCCCATTTCTTCCCCTCCTTCACAAGCCCTTGATAAGTTATAGATTGTTATTTCCATATCATGCATCTTCCTCCGTTGCCCCTCACCCACTTTTCCGTTATTCATCCCCCTGGGAGGGGGTTCTAGTTGATCCTTGTGCTCGATTCCTCCTTTCTCCCCCCACCTTCCC